CATTACCCATTTAAGCCGTCTCCAGCCATTATTAATACTTACTTTGTTAGATATACTTAACAAAAATCATCATCAGATCATTCTAATAAAGGTGTAGACTAATAAACTGTAACAAACAAAATTATCATTTCAGTAGTCATGCAAAACAATATTTGAATTTTTAGCCCTGTTGAAGAATGTTTTAAAGGATTGAATTAATTTTTCTCAGTTAAACTATGCAAGTCCAACAAGTTCAAGATGTTTCTCATAACAGTCCTAAAGTTCCAAACAAAATGTTGAGTTTCATAATTGTAGGCCTATATATATATTTTGAATTCTCTGCAGACCTACATTTATATCAATGATAATACTAAACTAACACTATGTTATTTAGCTTCCTCATTAGAAAAACACAAGACCTATTATTACTATTATTTACATTTCTTTTCCATGATTGCTTGACCCTACTAGTTATGCTTTCAACTCAACCATGAGAATACAGAAGGTAGAAAATGCATTGTATACCAGCATACCATGATAAATATAACATATTTTGTCATCACTAACGCTAGCATCATGTTTACAGTGAAACTGACAGATCAACTTCACATTGAGAATTAAATAGCAGGGTCAATTAAACAAAGCTTCTTTGATGTGTATGCATTTTTGTTGCATTAAATACTTTTCTGTAGCTTCAGGCTATTAGAAGTCATTCTGAATCAGATGCCCATTTTATGAAAATGTGTAATTGTAATTAAAGTGGTCAAATTATCATTAGTAAAATATATTATTACAAAAATTATAAAAAGTTTATAGGTTATACAATGCAATAGCATTTATCATTTGCTTTAAACAGTGTGGTACACCTCACTGTTATTGTATCATAAGTTTATCAATGTATAATTGTGAAATATTGTTACAAATGTCCTGTACTACTTCCCACACTTCAACCAAGTTGCTTCATTTCTGTATAACCCTAAACAGCCTTAATATTCATATCATGACTGTACATGGCAAACTGGTTATGAATATTCCAAGCAATGTAACATAGATTCTCTGGTTATCATCCAAAACCCAAAAATGCTTCATAAGCCCTTGAAAAAGAAAATAAAATCTATGGCTCAGTGAATGTGCATAGCAAATCTTCTGCAATATCCCTGTTGTTTCCTTCTGAAAAAACAAAAAGTCTTAGATATATCCTTGTTCACCCAAAAGTCAATTATACAGTGCCACAGATTGCCTGTTCTCCTTGAAACAAGCTTTGATTTCCAACATACAAGTTTATAAAAACCACTACTACTTTCTCTGGCCAACATGGAAAATTACTACTGCATAACAAAACCAAGCTTTTTTCAAACTCAAAACACATCCTTTAACTCAAAGTCTCTCTTTAAAATCTCAGAAAATGCTGATTTGAAATGATTTCCTCTATTATTACATTAATAACATTTTAACTTCTATTATTTAATTAAAATTCCTTTCATGTGTGTATGGTATTTTGTACATTCTTACTTACATGTATTATTATTATTACAGAATATATTTTCTTAACATTTCACTCTTCCTGTGTCATTAAGTGATTTTGTTGAAAAAACTGTTCTGGAAATTACTTTTTGTGCAAATACACATCTTATAATTCCTTTTTATTTTAAAACTATTCTTTCTTCTTGTGTTCAATCACTTACACATCACATACATACATACAATGCTATTTCACCATTTAGGTCATAATTATTGAAACGTGAAGTCTCACTTCCAGTACAAATACCACATACTGATGGGCATGCTTACACACAGTGGTCATTCACCATTTACCTCTAAGGAAAGAAAGACAATTTTTAAAATCATTCAGGTTAGTGGGTTTCTTTTTAGATACTGAAAGATGGTAACAGAAATACAATGCAAAATGCACATACTGTACCACCTTGTGATGTCAAGTTTAAACATTCATTAAGAAATAAAGTTCCATAATAATTGCACTTGACAACATAATATTACATATCTTAAAACATTCAATAAGGCACCGTTAGTTATTGAAGTGACAGTTTCTTAAATTGAATTTGTGTAAGTAAATAATATGCAAAGAATGTATCTTACACAAGTTGCAAACTTTGTTTTCTGTTGTTTATATAAATGATAAAATCATATATTTAATCTTTCTAAATTATGAAAGCCATGAAAAATGTTGGCATATTTCTCATATGTTGGAAATATTACATAATTAATCATTTTATTTTACAATTAAATATTTGTACCTTCAAGCCTCTACATTGTTTTTTTTTGTTATCTTTTTAATCCCAACTTTAACCTAGATGTTTATGCTTTCAACAATTCACACAAGCGATACAATACAAATGAGTCATCCTTCTAAAATGCCATCAATTTTGTTCACTTAGACCAGCATACACTTAACTGAACAAGAAACACAACTAACTTGATTAGGTAGAAGGAACAGAAATGAACACAATACTACACATCTTAAAGCATTCAATTAGGCTTCATGTTAGTTACTGAAGTGACAGTTTCTTAAATAATACAATAATAGAAGTAAATATAACATGATAATTTTTATTTTATCATTGTAAAAATCAATGTTCAAAGGTGAAAATAGATGTGGTGTTACCAGAATATATTTCTGAAGTAAACTGACATTGGAGAAAAATGATGAAACAACAGCACCAAAATTACACAAAACTTCTCCAAATGTATGAAATTCATGTAAGTAAGAAATACAAGATGCAAGTTTAGATGGCTAAGTAGCAGTGTAAAGTATCAGCAACTTGTAAAAGAAGTTAACCATGAGAAAACACTTAGATTTTGTGAAAACTCGTGTGAAAAGAAACTCTGATAACATCATTTTTACAGATGAATGTTCCATTATTCTGGAAAGATACGTCAATATTGTATTTAGGAAGTGGTATGAGCCACCAAGACCTAAAGTATTGTTACACATCCTATAAAGCTACAATGTTGAGCAGGCACTTTGAGAGGAGGCAAAACTCTTATTATAATGGCATATTTTCAGAAGCAATAAAATCACAAATTTACATGAGAATCTTGCAAGAGGTGCAATCCATTTTGCATAAGAAACCCTTCTGTATGAATACAGACTAATGCAGGATAACATAACTGAAATTACACTAAAATATATTTTCAGGAGAAGTTAATCAACTAGTGAGTACCTCCACTAAAATCCCCTAACCTCAACACAACTAAAAAGATGTGGCACCAGCTACAACATCACAGCAGAAAAATGTGAAGCCATGGAGAAAAGAGGAACAGCAAGATGGTACAGCAAATTTTTGGACATCAATCTTACCTAGCACATACAACAAGTACTTCAGAGAGAGATGGAAAAGCTTCTGAATTGTAAAATTTGACAAATATTGGTAATCGTCAATAGGAAATAACATATTTCACATTTGTATATTTTGTATCATTTTTAATGTTAGGAAAATATTCTATTAATAAAGCATTTGGTAAATCTTGAGTAAAATTCAGTTTGAAAAAAACATTTTCTTTCAAGTTCAACTGTGAAGAAGAAATGTGACAATATCAAATAGAAATATTTCAAAATCAAACTTTCAAAACTCATAGTAGCCTGAAAATATAAAAAAATGATTAGTGATGAGGCATTGTGTGCATATAAAATGGTTTACTATTTCAACATTAGCCAATTTTCAAAGATTTATAAAATTTCTTTACCATTTGCATGAAAAGTAGGAATACTAACTGAAAAGAGAAAAACTGTACAATTCTTAATGATTTGGGAATAATATATATATATATATATTCATAACATTGTACTAGTAATAACAATCTATAACACAAAATTGTATGCAAGTTAATTTAAAAAACTATGAGTGTTAGATACTTACTTATCATATTTGAAGAAAGTGAATTAGCAGTAATATGCAGGCTATTTAAGTTTAGAGTGAGTTCAATAAATTTTCATGTATATTTTTATTACTATAACTTATTATGATTTACCTCAATTACTATTGTCTGTCATATCGTTTCACTGGTTTCATTTGACAGGTGTATAAAAACTAAGCCAGTAACTATCTAAAATGAGAAATTAACTTTAAATGTAGATTTATATTAACACAGATATTACTATGATATACAAAAATTGGATCATCATTCCTGTAAAATAAAGAAGGAAATCATTTTGTAGATTAAAATATGAAACAATATGTAAAAAAAAACAACTAGAGATTCTAGCTGAATAATTTAACCAAAGTATCAATCAGTATAGACACTTTTCTGACAAGTGTCAGAAATTTTTTATTGATGCCCGAACAAAACCAAAGAGATTAAAAGTCTAGAATTTTTTTTTTTTAATATATGTAGTCTTATTTATATTTAACAACTACCTGAGGATTGCGAAGAAAAGTATCTCTATGGTTTAAACAGCCTCCTGCTCGATCTGTAACTGTTCCTTTAGGTCCAGTGGTCCACTGACCTTGAAATGTTGCTTCTCGCCAACTTTTACTGAAACTAAACCATGAAGTATTTACCATGTGGCAAATGGACATATCTGTGAAGTGACGGCAAAAATCTTCAAACGGCATCCTGAAATATTGCATTAAACATTTGTTTGTTACAATGCATCTAATCAAAATAGATTTAATTATATCTTTTAATAATGTATTGCCCTTCCTACACTCATAACAAACTTATTACCCTTGTATATTTTTATCACTTCTTTCATAATGTAACTTTTATCTTTGTATGAAAGAAATGCTGATGAAATAATGTTAAATTCCCTTCTTATAATATCTCAAATTAATAAGTTTGAAAAAATAGGTCAAACATTAACATTTCTTCAAATATAAAAAAACTAAAACTCACCAAAACTCTCCATCATCCTCAAATGTCAGCCCTATTCTTTCTCTTTCACTGGATGAAATCTTGGCCCACTCTGGTGAACTAGAAAATAGTTTTGTCAGTTTGCAGGAACTATAGCACCACCTAGCATACATTGAAACCAAGAAAGGGAAGAACAAAAGAACAGCCGAATAGAATGTAAAATTCCATGCACCAAGCGAAAATGAGCATATAAAAGTTCTTTGTACTTACAGTCAGTTATACTGGGAAAGCATGAAAGAATGAAAAGCAAAAAGAAATATAACCTGAAAGCAAGACAAAAGAATACTCAAATATGGAATTTTATAATCAAGTTGTATGAAAAAATGTAGATAATATTTGTTTAAATAATTTTATTTGTAAATATTTATTTAAAATTAGACATCTTTATATTATTTATACAGTAGAATAAGATGACAGACTGCTGGTGCCATAGTAATACCAAAAAAATAAATAATTCACTTATGACTAATCATAATTCACAATGACTATTCTTAAAGATCAATCAACTTGACACTTGTTTGATGCATGTGAGAAAAGATGAAAACGAATTTATCAACCAATAATATCAAAGAATTTTTTATTTAACTGTTTAACACTGACCAATAAAGAAATACTTTTATCAGTAATCTACCATTTTATGATGTCACAATCTAACTGCATTTCTTATCAAAACAAATCCTACTTTATATTGTTTTTAGACTTAACTGCACTGTTCACACAATTATTTACAGGTTATCACTTATATTAAAGGTGTTTGGTAATATATGCAAGTTTTTCTAACAAACTATGGCCTAATGTTTTTAATTTACAATTTGTCTTCTGTGATAAAACTTCAAATATGATTCAACAATAGTCATATTATCTTTAAAACAATTTTAAAGAGAAACTATAAAGTTTTTTTTTTATCAATCACTGATAATTAGCTTGCTAAATTACGAATGTATTTCATTTTAATTTGATTATTAATTTTCATTTTTCTCTTTTCCAATGCATAACAATGACTGATCAAGATAAGATATTTTACCAATCTTGTCATTCTGGTTATCATCACTACACTTGCATGACTTAACAAATCAACAAAACATCTAAATAATAATTTTTTTGAATTATGAATCTTTTTTTTATGGTCTTATCTATTTTTCTAGAAAGTATTCTCAGCTTAGCTAACAGAAAAATAAAACATCTACAATTTCACAAGTTTGAGCACTCTGAAACATTCACTCAGTGAACATGTGGTGTTCATGTTAACTTCATGGGAAACTCCAGCTTTGATTTATTGCTTTTGATGTAAAAATTACTGCTCCAGTGAGTACAGATTATATAATTTAAAGGAAACAGATGAAAATAAAACTTTTGATAATCATTAAGGAAGTTCTAGAGGTTATGCAAATGAAGTATGAAAACTGTAAGATGAAATAAGTATTTTTATTTTGAATATAAAAATCACCTTTCACTCAAACCGACTCGATAAATCCTTTAGAATTTCACAGACAAATCTTTTATTAAAAATACAATGTTAAAGAAATCTGATTTCTTTGTGTACCAGACTTGTAATGTTTATTAAAAACTTGTCAAATTTTGTGAAGACAAGCATAGTGAATTCAAAATTATAGTAAACATTATTATGAATAGTTTTACAGATATGGGATGGGGTCAATCAATTGGACCAATCCAGTGAACAGATGGTTAATTAAAAATATTGCTGCAATATTGAGAGATTTCTTTTATCGTGTGCCATTTTTCTAGATGTGATTTTTCCTATTCGAAAGGCAGTTCACCCTACTTGCATGTCAAAATGTGCATGTCATAACCATTTAAAAAGTTACATTCACAATTTAATTCAACAATTTTATTGTCAATTTATGTCATTAAACTTGGCATCAATAAATATTTTATAATTCAAATGTTTATATTATCTAAGATTTAGTTTTTAATTTCAAATGGAAATATTAACAAATTCTCAGTCTTCAGTTATCTGTATTAAGTAATGCACCTGGGGCTCTGAATTCTTCCCTATGGATTTTATATTTTTCCTAAAATGAGTTATATAGTGTGAAACCAATTAGAAACACAAACTGTACATAACGACAAACAATAATACAAGTATAAAAAGTTTTTAAATAAAAAATTTGAGAAGTAGGAATGAGAGTACCAAAATGTAAGGAAACAAGTTAGGAATGGGTAGGATAACAGTACAACACTTGATGGTTTTTGACATAATGAAACCTCAAAGTGGGTGTGGCTATAGTTCTGCTTATTCCTACTTCATTTGTTTTTTGTAACTTGGTAATTCTTCATACTAAATGAAAGGTGTATATAGGTAAATTTCTCTGCTGTAAACTTTGTTTCAGTAATCAAGTACAGATACACGTATGTAATCAAATTACGTGACCCTAACAAAATGCATGACCACATAAAGGGGGTGTGATTTGATGTCAGATGTGAGGTAGGAAGCTCTAATAGTCATACTTTGCTTATGGGAGACATAATATAGCTATCTGATTGGTATAGGTAGGGCCAAAAAATTGTATCAAAACCCCTGATTTTTGATATTTTTAAATTTGTTGGGTATTTGGAAAGGATTAGCCACTGATAAAACTCAATTGAAGTCTATAATTGGATCAAAGTTCAAAGTAAAATATGAAGTAGAAATGGGTGGAATAATTGTCATACCCACTTTGAAGTTGTACCATGTCAAAAACCATCAAGTGTTGTATGTTATCTCACTCATTCCTACCTTGTTTCCTTACTTTTTTGGTGCTCCCATTCCTACTTCCTCATTTTATTATTTAAAAATTTTTTACACTTGTTTCATAGTTTTTTTTTTTGGTACTAAATATCGAGAGTGACTGGGCTCTAGACCTTTGGCTGGATTAATGGCTAAGGCTTGTTTTGCACATTCAACATAACTGTTTCTAACCTTATCTCTATTCTTGCAGTTATGCTCTCTTCCTGGGACAAAGACTTTTCAAGGTTATCAACATAACATTTTCTCTTTTTTTGTCATTTTGTTTCCTTGAAAGGCATATTTTAAAAATATCACTGTTTCATGTACAACCTTAGATGTCAATAGGTCACACTTAGTTTGGAAACAATGCTAACATAAATTATAAAACTTATCATTCTTGTTTTCAGTCCAGAGTGCTTGAACAAAGCTGTGTCAGACTTCAACAACGATAGGGTTTGTCCTCATGTAGGAAACTCATGTCTCAGGCACTGACTGCTAAGATAGAATTGCTTTGTCCAACATAGAACTCTTGAGTCAGATGTATAGAACTGAAAACTTTGCCTTCAAAGGTTAGATCATAGTTAGAATCTAGATCTAGAGAATCTATGTAGTCCACATATTTTTTTCCACTTAATACAGCTGCAAGCTGATCGCCTAGCATGTGTGCATAAGCAACTGTGCATCTGCACATGATATGAGGGTGGGTTGTTACTGGCAACTCATATAGCATGCTTGTAACCATAGAATATGGCTACTAGTGTATTGTTAGCTTGTTAGTAGTGCTGCAAAATGGTTATTGTTATTACCAAGGTTATAAATAAAACTAAGAAAAATGCTTTTAGCCAAGGTAGCCTAATTTAATCATTTGTATTTAGATTTGCATAAGATGAAAGCAGGAGAGAACTATGCCTTTCCAACATTGTTAGTCAGTCAGTCAAATAGTCAGACTGACATATTTCTAATTTTGTCAATTTTTTTTATTTTACTCTACTGACTTTCTCAAGTGCCTTGGTAGCTTGTTTACTACTCAATTGTGTGTATAAAATGCTTATAAAGTTTTGCTTACATGCTGTTTGCAGTGTGTTTGAGATTTTAATTTGTATTACACACCTGGCTCATTTTTACAATAAATACTACCATACTTATGATAAAATTTCAAATCTCTTATCAATTTGCTAATATATTAATAAAATTGTTAAACCCACCAGAGAAGCATCTTCTATGTTTCCATAGCTTTCAAAGCAATTATTAAATCATGTGTCCTTATCTGATGTACATGATTATAAGTTATAGAAAGAGCATTTTCTCCTCTCCAAATGCTTATTACAGTTATTTCTTGTTGGTGGGCATACATAGTCAATTTTTGTAATTGTAGTAAATTCAGAATTACAGTAAATATTATTATATATAAATTCAGAGATACGGATGTGGTCAAATAAACCAACCATGTGTGCCAGTCCCAAAATGGTATTTCCAAATAAAGGGAATGTGTCTTTATTAATGACTGGAAGAAAGTAACTTATATGAACAATTTGTCAGATGAAACACAACATTTAAATTAGATGCTTTTTGTTCATGCAAGATACTGTATGCAGATTGTAATCTCACTGTAATTTTTTTATTTATTTTGAAGCTAATCTTATAGTAGTTTTTATTAATATTGAATCAAATAACATACCAGAAAACATTATTACACTATATATTTTTTAAAGTCAGTTTTAGTGTTTTGTAGATGCATTAAGTATTTATTTTCAGTTTGACCAGTAAGTTTGAAGTTGATTTTTAATGCTTTTTCTATTTTACATTTGCTCAGGATATAACACTTTAATTACTGCTACAAGCTCTTACATACCCATCACTAAATGAGCCTTCCCACTCCTTTCCTCCCCATGGATTACGAAGTCTAACCATGTATATTTTTTCTCGTCCTGTGAAGAATGAAATCAATCCAGTATTTCCAATGTAAACTTTCTTCACAGCAGTAATACCATATGCATGACCTTTGACCAATCCAACTTCAGTACGTTGTTCCATCTGCTGCTGATCTGTTGCCTGTAAGATAATTAATTGTAAATAAATCACAGTTATAGTATGAAAGGTAAAATATTTAAAATAATCCCTTTCATTAGTTTATCAAAAAGTTAACCCTGTGTCCTTTAAACATGCTTATCTATATAAAAACCAACAGTAAAATTTTGTGAATTGGCTCTATTTTAAAAACGATTCTGAATAATTTTCAAAATATATAAATGTTCTTGACATTTAGGTAAAAAAATGGCACTGAAAAATAGGAATTACATCTATGTATGCCAAATCAATTTCCTTACTAATAATACCCGAGGTGATTTACACCCCAGCCTTAAATCAATATGTTGAACTGGCTATACATTTAAGTAGATTACAAATAAGAGCCTCTCCATACCAAACAAACATCTTCTCAAAACACTTTATTGCAGAAGTTGTAGAACTGAAGCTGTATCAACAGCAGCTTGACCATCTTTTTACTGCCATCTTATTCCTTCCAACTGTTCTTCAACTTGATTAACATATTTTTGATTTCTGATCCACTACTTTCTACCATGTAAGAATATTTTCTTCTATCAACCCTTGGATAATAAATGGCTCTATGCACCATACTTGTAACCTTAGAGCAAGATGAGTAAAAATATCAGTGTTTGAAATCTGTACTTGACTACCTACTAAATGATGACAACTTAAGTTTCTCATCGACTTAAACAGTCTTTCAAACTGCTCCTACTATAAATGATCTCAGAATTTCCTGAAAATTTTCAGGATGGAACTCTGGATTATTTTTAAAATGGAGAATATATCTTCCTGCACTTTTCATGGAAAAAGTCATGTAACAGATTTAAAACTAGATGGAATGCAAATGCACCTGAGATGGTATATGTAAGTACAAACAGTAATCAAAACACTCATAAGGAAAAACATGTAGGGTTGTAATGATACAGATTTGTGGTTATATAGGGTTATAATAAAGATGAAAATACTGTATGTCAAAGCTGACTAATATAGCTTAAAAGTTAACAGAAGTGCAAATGCACCCAAAGTGGTATATGGTAGGTTGAAAGGGTGGGGTGGTGGAATGTGGTGCTTGTTTTAAAAATAAATAGTTATTATGATAAAGTTCCAACTCCCTGCAATACATAATGTTATATTACATTGTTTTGTTGATTTATATGGTTACAACAAATAGCTATTAACAAGTGATCTGTGACTTAATCAGAGCATGCCAGTTAAATATCTGATTTTGTTGTATCTACTGCTAAGTTATCAGTATACAACTTAATTTTGCAGGCTGATTATGTAGAAGAAGTACTTAAATGACTTCTCTATGATCAGTGGAAGTGATTTTTTGCTGAAAATTTGTTTCTGGCTATCAGTTATTCTAACACAGTTGAACCAAATCTTCACTTCAAAATTAGGCATGAAAAACAACACCAGATGTGGGAGGATGGGTGGGAAGTGAAAGTAGAGGTAAGTATCTATCTGAAATATATTTTCACTGTGGGCTACAGATGGAAGACCAGCAGAAGGTACAAGTAGTGCAACGCAAAGGTGAGGGAGCTTACAAAAAGCCACGCATAAAGCCAGAGTGTGGGAACAGAGGAATGAAGCACCTCTGAATGAGGTTGCTGAAGAAAGGTAATGGAGATTGTTCTTAGAGAAAGGGCATGGATGGAAATTATGGTTGAGCCAGCCAGAAAGGAATGACAAGAACAACTCGACACAGAGTGGACCAGATGAGAGACATTACTTGAGGTAGAAGATGGATGGGGGGTATATGCATAAAGGAAAAGGTCCTTCCAATCCTGGCTAAACACATCCACGGCCAATGCAAAGGTATGTGGAACTGAGGACCAAAAGAGAGGAAGCTTGGCATTCAAATGAGTGGCAAATGATTCCAGTTTGGAAGTATCCTACTGAGTACATAACCATCAGAATACCTGGGGGTCAAGAGAATGCTCCATAGGTAAGATCTTGTCTGAACAGGACAGACAATCTGCAACAAGATTGAGGGCACCAGGTATCTGACAAACCATCAAACAAATTTGATGGCTATGAGCCCATAAGAGGAAATCTAGTGTGGAAACATAAGAACTGGGATCAATTGCCCACTTGTCTGGTGATGTAAAAGGCAACCGTTGAGTTGTCAAAATGAATCATAACAGTCATGCTCCATGGAGATAATAGAAAATGAATCATCACCCGATGAACAGCAAGGAGTTCCAAAAAGGTTGATGTGAAGGCCTAACTCCTTTTGAGACAAATGGTCTGAGATCTCCTGTGTATTGCAGCATACACCCCATCCTCACAATGAGGCATCTATCTGAAGACATGGATATCTGGATGGGAAGAAGGAATAGGTATCCCCACTGTTGTGTTGTCCCTGTCTAACCAAAAGAAGTTAGACTAAAGGAAAGCAGGAAGGGATATCAGTAAATCCATAAGGTGCCATTGATCTTGTAGTACTCACTGCAAGGAATGTATGTGGTCATGGCCAAGATGGATATGAGCCTCCTGTTATACCCAAGTTTCCAAAAGAGACAGGCAAAGTGGGGGAAAACAAAACTCAAAACTAGGTGCTGCAGTCAATAAGGAAGAGGAGGGATCAAGTGACAAGTGTGACAAAGACAAAACACAACATACCTGTAATATCATGTCTAAATAATGGGTGACTTATGTCTAGGCACTTCAACAGGCTGAGAATGTGCCTGCACAGTGAAGAAAGGGTTCAACTGCATAGATGAAGTCAATTGTGAAAGGAAGGTTTGTCCTACTCCTATTGATGAAGGACTTTTGCATCCTAATTTGCATGCTTAAAAGCAGCTGAACCATGTGGTATATACATGGAATTAGGTGGGACTTTTAAGGCTAGTGGCAAGTAAAAATTTGGGCACTAGAGGGTACTCAAATAGAGAATAGCTGTAACTGTGAGAAGAGGTTAATAATCGTATCAGAAGCATCAGTTTCAAAGTTGACTTGCAAAAGCAAGATTATGAAATGCTTTGAATGTTATGAATGCTGCAGGTGTATAAGAAACTGATGCATTTGGTGGAAAACAAATAGTAGAGCCAGGGCAACAATTGTAAACATCTTTAGTGAACATTTTGAAATTACACCTACACCTACAAACTTGCTAAATTCCTAGTTCCTATCTTAAACCCCCTAATACTAATGCTTATGTCATTAAAGATTTCTTTCACGCATGAAATTTCTCAATTTCCAGGTGTTAACCAATATATTATGGCAAGCTTTTACATTGAATCTCTTTTTAATAACATTCCTTTAGAAGAAATGAGACATGTCTGTCTTAACAAACTATTTCCCAATAACAATAGCCTGAGGACTGGATTAAACAAATAGCAATTTGCACAACTACTAAACCTTGCTTTAAAATAAAATCACTTTGTCTTTAATGGTTAATTATATGACCATATAGATGGTGTTGCAATGGGTTCAAAACTAGGACCCTCACTAGCTAATATCTTTCTTTGTCACCATGACCACACGTGGCTGAACAAGTGTCCTTCTGATGTTACACCCGCATTCTACAAAAGGTAGGTAGATGATACTTTCTAACTCTTTCATAACCAAGAACACATTCCTCAACAACTTAAATTTTCAACACCCTAATGTAAAATTCACTTGTGAAATTGAAAACCCAAACAAAAAATTTAGCACCTCTGTTTACAGAATGAAAACTTTTACTGGTTTGTACACATCCTTTTGATGAAGAGATGGAAAAATCATACAATTTACGTTACAACTAATTTTATAGCAATCAGCTCTTTCATATCCTGAAACAGTTGCAAATTAGTCATTCATGAATTTGTAATAAGCACAACAGTCAAATTATCAACATATGGAAAATATGCAAATAGCTCTAAAATGGTTTAGGTGGTGATGATTTAATCCTAAATTAGTGTCCTTTCCTAATCAAAATAAATAATGAAAGGAAATCTAGTATGCATCAGTGTCAGTGTCCGATGATGTCCCAACATCCATTTTTTGTTCAACTTGGGGGGCATGATGGTGGGTCAAACAAACTATGTGCCCTTGCTAACTAATGAATGAATATTTGCTATAAAATTCTTATCAATTCTATAAAT